GGACGCGAGAGCTCATTCAAAAGGCGCTCCTTGCTCTACATATATACGACATGCAGAACGCTCCTTGCGACAAGCCCCTTATTGACCTAGAGCTTTTAAATAAAATCGTGCTTCCAATGAAGCAAATTCTTCTCGATTCGCAGGTCGTAGGTCAGCGAGAGACCTCACGGTTAAAGTCATCGACCTAAGAGTTGCTTTTTAGAAAAAAGAAGATGTAGGAATGGTCGCATGGGAAAATGCTGGTTCCATTTCAAGACGTGTCAGAAGATTTTTTCTTTCTTTTTTGTGATTATAATGGATTGAAGCTGATCTTAGGTGACCTCAAATTAGACGTTAGATATTTGCTGCAGCATCAATGATGTGCAGCGCGAAGCGTCGTATTTCGGTGCTCTCTGCAGGATCGAAGCCAGCCATGGCGAACTGCATATGTTTGTGAGCTCTTTGTGAGCGGCTGTGTATGTACATACACTGTACAGTGTACAGTGTACACATATGCACAGTTCGCTCGGTCATTGACCCCCGCACGTTCCGCAACTTTCATGGGCGCCGCTTCAGTACGGCCAGCACGCCCCGTAATGACGACATTGTCAAATAATGACGTGCCCGTGTGCCCGACCATTGTCTGAGGTGCAAAATCAATAGGCATGGGTTCTGTGTGCACCTGGAATGCTAATACTCGGCCCACTGGTATGACTAACTGCATTATACACATGATTGATGCTCCTTACGGCTACAATTCGGTTATTCCCTTCAATGCGCTTATAATTATTCTCATTTCAGCTTAGTTGGACCTGGGCTGAATGCCCAATTTATCGCTTTTCATACGAACGGTGCACTGGCGATAGCGTGGTCGAGCACTCAAAACTTTTTTACTACCTCCTGGAGAGTTCATTTTCATCAAACCCGCAAGATAATAGTATATTGAAAGGGTAACTCGCTGCTACCATTATGTGCATAGTAACGGTACGTGGTTAATATGAACTTATTCGCCAGCGAAGAGTATTATTACCATGTAAATATCAATATTACTCTCGCGATCCAGAACATCACGAAAATTCTTTCCTCCTGGGTATCGTGACTCGGGTACAGATAGTCGTTTCATGCGTGGATCTTGTTTACCCTCGTGAAGATGATATTTGAAATGGAAACAATCAGCCAATCAGAAACGAGATCGGCCGTTTGCGGTTTGAAGGCCGCGCGCATCTGTCAGTTTTCGGCCGTTGGTCTCCGAGAGCGGATGTGAGCAGTGTCGGTGCCGCGCGGCGTGGCCGTTGGTGATTGTGCTTGTGTGTTGTTCATCGCCTATAGAGCCTCTGTGGACATTTTATTGTAAGTACCGATGTGCTAGAGCATTGCGTACCGTTGAGTGGTGCTAATTTGACCTGGTTAACAGGACCCCGTGCACGGCCACGTGGCCTAGTGTTGTGAGTACGTACATTAATTTTGTGGTGATGCTACAAGTTTATGCATTTTGTTGGTGACTTTGAAAAAGCCTTGCACTGTAGTGATCCAGTCTCATTATCTCACGCAGACGGGCGACCACCCAGGAACGCCGTCGCTTACTTCAAATATTGTGCGCTCTGCCTAATCCAATATGAGGGCGCTGAATGTCTTGTATTCATATTCAAATTGCATTCAAGTTGTATCGTGGTGTTTATTTACCGCTTGTGCATTGCTGAACGCTTTGTATAAATTTGTATGAATAAGTGAAGAGTCTCACAATGTTCATGGTTGGTGTGCCCCTCGTATTGTTTGTACGGAAGCCAAATATACCTACATTGTTGCTCTTGAAGCATTTTTTTTTAGTTGGTGAGCTCCGGTTAACAGAAGCTTCGTGAAGCTTCTGAAGGAAGCGTCTGTGGGTCTGTTACCATCCTCTGGGGGGTTTACACTAAAGGAAAGAGTAAACATTACCATGTGACAAAGGGTAGGCCATAAGAATATACTCTCTGTAGGAGGGTAAAGCACAGAGTAGATGATGCGTTACTCCCTAAAAAAGGGTTCCGTTAAAGATTTACCCTTTCAAAGAGTGTAACCCAAAAAATGTTACACTCTAGACAAGAGTAAATCAAAAGAGTTTACCATTCAGAAGATGGTAAAAAACGTCTGTGTGTCATGTTACCCCTCCCTGGCGAGTTTACTCTTCATGAAAGAGTAAAATTTACCATCTGGAAGGTGGTAAAAAACGTCTGTGTGTCAAGCTACCATGCTATGGCGGGTTTACCCTTCAGGAAATGGTAAAAAAGTTTTCAGTGAGCGGCTTCTCAACTCGCTTTTAGCTGCCGTTGGGAATGACCTGCGTTCCGTCTCTAACTGGCCGCGTGACAGATCCGGTGAACTTACTTACGGTGAGCAGAGCGGGATGAACCGTTTTCGGGTCCTGGCCATGTTTGAATTTAACTTCATAATCTGACAAGGAACAGGCTGGGATTTGGTATTTTTGCTTAAACGGCTCCTATGCAAAAAAATATGGTAAAATTGACCATATACTCATAATATCGGATAAATTAATTGAAAAAAGGTCCAGAATCTATTTTCGAACTTGGTTCTTCTTTGGTGGAATAAAAAATGGCAGGCAAAAAAAAACCTATGCAGGCAAAAAACCTATAATGCAAAAAGACGAACTGTGATCCATTGCGGTCACATCGCTCCTTGACGGGAATGAGGACATTGCTTAACAACGCCGTGCTCGTGCGGCTTCATGTGAGGAGTAATAGGTGGTCCAGGACCAAAAAGGTCTTGCCTACATAGACGTGGCGGCTTTGAGGCCGTGGCGGCCAAAATGGATGGCCCTGGCGCCAATGTCACGGAGCTCAAGCTGAAGTGATCGCTTCTGACCTACGGGAGCGTGTCGGCTGCAGGAAGGCTTAGGTCAATTTGCACGAGTATTGGACGCCGACGGTGGATCATAATATCAAAGGCTATTCGAAGGCTGAAACGCTTGTCAAATTTAGCAGCTAGTTAAAAGCTAATTACTGTCATGAGGTTATATATATTACTGACCGGGCCGACGAAATTATTTGGAAACGAGGTTTGCAAAATTGACGTAGGCCCGAGTGCGAAGCACGAGGGCCGGAGTCAAATTTTGCAAGCCGAGTTTCCAAATAATTTCGTACGGCTGAGGTCAGTAAGATTTTTCCTACATGCCGCATACTTGGTTAGTTTCGACAGGTTTTGGTGACACTTTTATACAATTGTTTTGTCCATATTTTCCTAACAGTGATTGCGCTACTGCTGTGGATAAAGCCTTAAAGGAAATTTACAGAAGAAAATGCATCAAAATACCTTACTTCAAAAAGAATCACGTCTGAAAATATTAACTTAGAATGGCACAACAATTGGATATCCAAGGAACATAATACTTGAATGATTTGCCACGACATAAGAACAAGAAGAAGGTATAATATTCCTAGTGATTAAACGTGAATTTTCCCAGTGCTCTTGCAAGAATCTTTGCTTTATTTATGTAATCGTACTTTGTTGATATGCCCTATGGCTAAACGTTCGTTAAATACATTATACATATTTTCCATATTTTACATGTTTGTTTCGAGGAAAGGACTACAACTGCCCAATAAAAACGCATTAACTTAGGCCCAAGGTATCAGTGGACAATCAAACGAAGATAAGACAACAAGCGATAACGGATTTCGATTAATAGGCGCATATCTTACCATAATTTCGGCTTTGTAACCAATACAGAATATTTCAAAACCCTTGATAAGCAGAGCAGATATTTACCAAAAAATGTTAGTTTTCTAATTTTACGCGGCAAATATCATGCAATAATGATGTCAATTATACATTCTCTGTCAATTATACCTCTGGACTAATGCGATAAACTGTAGTTTAGAGGTCATTGCCCTGGGCAGTAAACTCGGGCAGTAAACTTTTGTTTCCTGCCCGGCCTATCAAATAACATGGCATTTTGACACCGACAGTTTCTTGGTCATAGTTTTACTGCCCGGCTCGTGCTGTGCTTAAGACATACCCCGGCATGTAGGAATAAATTGGAGCGACCTCGACCTTTTTAAGAGAATCTATGCGTGAATATCGGCTTGGCATTAAATCATTCCTCGCGGTCCCGGTGCGCCACAGTCTCCATTTGACATTTACCCTGACCATTATGAATTGATTTCCACCGCACATGAAATCGGGCTGCGCTTCCATGAGCCATAGATTTGCTTTTAAGTCGTGGTGCAGGCGACATTAGCTTTACTTCACAAATGCAGAGGATATTGCAATTAGTCCCGTCCTATAGTCCCACTGTTAGCCTCATAACGAAACGTTTTCCATAAAAATAAAAACAAAAACGTCCACCAATGCTCGTATGTATGTCTACCGTAGTGGTGCACTCAGCGCTGTAGCTTTATTGGTTTCCAAGTTATGTCCCGGTTTGTTGAAAATTGTCCACATTCGGTCTGAAAATCGGCGAAAAAGGCCTAATATGACCTCTTGTGACCTGACCTTGGACCTAACAAAAAAGGACAGAAGTAATTTCGTCATTATTTTTTAGGGTCTTTCGAAAGCCACCTGCCCCGTGTCCGTATAGGTACGCGTGGCCCAGGAGCTGAGTGAGAGGGGGGGAGATTCAACCCCCCCCCCCCCCAGCAGGGCGTGAAAATCCAGGAGCCCCAGCGGGTCGCGGGCTAATGATTATTGACTTTGAGTCCACGGTCACTCAATGCAGCCAAACACACGAAGGTTATTACAAAGACTTACTGCGGCAACTGCGCTGCGGAGTCGAATGTTTACATCTGAGGGGCGTGAAGTCCATTAGAGAATGTTCTAAGAGGTGATATCATCCCGGATGGTCTGGAAACTTCGCCAGGCTTTTAAGAAAACTAAACAACGTGCCAGCATAAATGTAGAGCGAATAGATTGTAGCCTCAGAAGCAGAGTGGGTGGCTGTGGCGACAAGGTCAGCAGCAGCAGCAGCAGCGCGGTGGCCGCAGTAACAGCAGCAGCAGCAGCAGCCAGCAGGTGAAGCTGAGATCACGATGCGGCCACTGGTATTTCCCCTACTAGTCGGGTGTCTGTCTGCAGGCAGTGTCATCCCTCACGACATCCCGCTGGAGACCGCCATCGGCGCAGGCCCAGAGCCGTCGGCCGCCGCTCTGTCGGACCGGCTGCAGAGGATGGACGAGCGTCTGATCCAGCTGGCCGCCCGTCTGGAGTCGCTGACGCACACGGTGGACACACAGCTGGCACAGCTGGATAACAGCGTGCTGCAGCTGTACAAGGAGCTGGGCAGCGGCCGGCTGACCGAGGCAGCCGCCGAGCTGCGCGGGCTGCTGCAGGAGGCCCGGGCGGCGCCCGCCGACCCGCAGCTGGTCAGCACACTCAGCCAGGAGATCCGCCAGTCGGAGCAGCTGCTGCAGGCGCAGCTCAACGACACGCAGCAGCGGCTGGTGACGCTGCTGGAGGAGGGTCGGCCCGCCGCCGGCGCCGCCTCCCCGGCCACCACGACCGTGATCGTGGAGCGGTGCAGCTTCCCGGACCAGTTCCAGCGGACGGACGGCTGGCGGCCGGCCGACTGCGCGGCCGTCCAGCAGCGCCACCAGCGCAGCGGCGTCTACACCATCTACCCGCCTGTCTGCGGCAACGGCGGCGGCATCCGCGTCTACTGCGACATGGACACGGACGGCGGCGGCTGGACCGTGCTGCTGAGGCGCGCCGACCTCCCCGACCACCAGAACTTCGACCTCGGCTGGGAGAGCTACAAGTGGGGCTTCGGCAACCTCAGCGCCGAGTTCTGGTTGGGCAACGAGTACATGAGCCTGCTGACCAGCATGGAGGAGATGCAGCTCCGTGTGGACCTCCAGGACTGGGAAAACGCCTCTGCCACCGCCAGTTACACGCCGTTCTCCATCGGCACGGAACAACAAAAGTACCCCGTCAAAGTCGGAACCTACTCTGGCACTGCTGGAGACTCCTTCACTGGCATCAACGGCTCAAAGTTCTCCACCAAAGACCAGGATAACGACACTTGGAGCAAACACTGCGCGCAGTACTACAAGAACGCTGGCTGGCATAAGGCCTGTCTGTCATCAACTTTGCTAGGACCTTACATGAAGAAAACGATGAAGACCGGCTGGATTGGAATTACCTGGAACCCCTGGAAGGGGAACAAGTATTCGCTGAAGCATGTTGAGCTGAAGATGAGACCGGTTAACTACATGACCTGGTGTCACAAGCTGGCCCAGGAAGGGGTCAGTGAATGACAGGTCAGGTGGAACAGGGCAGATGACAGGGTGGCAGCCAGCTGACAGTCTGACAGTCAGCTGACAGTCTGACAGTCAGCTGACAATCTGACAGGTCAACGGTAGAAGAAAAGTAAAACACCTCAACCAGGGTATAATCCATGAACTGTCAGTGTCAGTTGTTCATCGCCTCACGTGGAGCCAGTCAGTAAAATACAATTCATCAATTTTGAATGGATTCACGTTATTGTCTTGTGTAGGTAATCATGAGATGAGCGGTGCCACAAAATTCGATTACTGAACCGCACAGTCTCAATTTCACGAAATGTTTTCCTGTCTTCTGGTTTTTGCTTCGAATGGCATTATGTGATTGATGTTGAGTTTAGCTAGCCATGCTCGTAATCAGGATAGGTAGCATATGATCTCAGGCAGCTTTTGCCAAATTGTCAGGGAACTCAGATTTGTTTTTCAATAGAAAAACACAATTCTAAAGAATAGTGTTTTAACTATTGACAACAAACCTTCGGTTACTGTTTGTATAATAGCGAGTCAGTGGACAGTGACATGAGTAAGACTGCAGAGGTGCACAAATAGCCCAGACTGTCTCCTACACGGTCTCCGATGGCTCCGGTTTGTCTCACCGATCATCCTTAGGTATATCCCAACATATCTATACTTTCAAGTAAAGCTGGTTATTTACATTACAGTTATTAATATTAATACGACGTAAACGCTATTCCTGAAGTGTTTTTATTTCTGAAGCTATCCGCAGATATATCGTCATTTTCTAAGAAGCCGACAGACATACGGTATGCGCTGATTTGGGCAAAGTGCGAGGCAGGACTTGGTACACCTCCACCTGAAATGCATACTGGTGGTGTATAAATAGACTAGAGTGAGGCGGTCTGGTTGTTGACTGTGTCTGGAAATGACTGGAAATGACTGGAAATACTGGAAAGTCAAGAACTACCCTCATAAAACCACCGGAACGCTCAATTAATTCCTCTCATCCAATGAGGGTTCAGTTCCACATGGACCAGACGGGCGTCCATTTGCCGTCCCATAGCGTCCCTCTCCCGTTTTGTGGGGCAGTTACTACTTGGCGGGCTGAAGGTGAAGTGACGTAACGCTGCAGTGTACGGTGCACATCAGTGTTTCTGTTTAGGAATATGAAACTTTAAGGAGTGTGTAACAAGTTTTTTCCTGGATCAACATTACTTCATTTAGGTAAGAAAACATTATTTGAGGACGATTTTGCAATATTTGCTAATGGGACGAAGCCCATCAAATTGCTATGGAATACCTATCATATTGAGGACCACAAACGTTCAGAAAACGTTTTGACTGTAGGCTTTAAGAAGCGGCTTTAAATCCTTTTATAATCCTAAATCCATCGCTGACTACATCTATACTGCAATCTATACACATTTCACGTGCATCGCTAATCTCTTCGCTAATACAGATCCTGGTCTATTTTTTCTTGCTTAGCAAACCTCAGCTGTCTTGTAAAATTTTCACGACGCATTCATACATTACAGTTTAGAGGCAGATAAATCCGATATTCCTGTTTTCTGCGTGGCTCTGTGAGGTCGGTCCCTGCCATGGATGGTGTGAGACCATCCATGCTGCCGATCGTTCGACGCGCTAGTTTTATTGGGGGTTATATGACCGAAGGACATCGACGGCCGACGAAACTGCCTCGCCTGGCGGGGTCACCAATGTGGAACACGCTGCCGGTTTTCCCGAAGTAGAACTGGAGATTTGCTAGACAAAGTTAGACTAAGTGAATTAATGTACTTAGCCATATGAAAGCAAATGTTTGACAGAAAGTAAGCGGCCATTTTGTCGCTGCTGGAGACAACTGCCGGAAAACTAACTGCATTCCCGCAACATTCAATTACTCATCGATACGTATCAAATGAAGCAGGGCAGATTACCATATTATTTTTCTTAGGATGTCGGAATATAACAACATGTTAAGATACCAAAAAGGTGCAATATCCTTGTTTATAACACAGCCTTTGTTCCGAGTCTGTGCCTTTGGATGGATCTCATGTGCTTAAAATCTTTAGAAAAATGCACTAAGTATCCATTTGAATTATTACTTATGCCAACATGAATGTTAGAAGAATAATCAATTGTAATTTGTTGTCAAGTCTAGATGTGTTTTCTCCACTGTCAATGACTGATTTCTTCTTGCTGAGTAATGTTTTGCAACCTATTAATTTCTATGCTAGTGGTGGCTCAAATATTGCTGTTATAGCTATGCAATGTGTAATCTTATATTGTTTAAATAAAGTTAGGCAAATTCAACTGAAATCATGACTGTAATATTTGAAATATGTCATCTGATTGACCTTCATCATACCAACATATAGCCTGGGCAAGGATTATGTCAAAAATGGCAAGGCAAGAGGAAAATAGAACAAGTCAGATTGTATTGCCACTCCTTTAGTCAGAGAATGAGGACAAGTTATAAGCAAAAAGCACAGATCACCTTGAAATCTTGAAATCAATGTCAAAGCCTACCTACCTGACAACTTGTATGGTCTCCCTCTTTTTAAAGTAATGCAATGCATTAGGTAGGTACATTGCTAGGTGTGAAATTTATGGAGAACTTCACAAACCCCATTACAAATCAGTTTTATAAGCATATGCTTCAAATTTCTATGCTTCCCACACTAACTGAAAGGTTTTTGAGCAAACTCATGAGCAAACTCCATGCCAGCATATCTTGTTATTGAGTAAACATGTTGACTACTTAACTGACCATTCCTTTTTCTATAATCATATTAATTACAATTCTACACAGACCTGTAGACAATTCATGACACATTTTCCACCCACAAAATTATTATATACACAACTGAACACAAAGCCTATGTTTAAAATAATAACATATCTGTTGCATTTTTGCTGTATAGGTACCTGTCTATAAAACATGAATAATTTGATGTTGTGAGCCTTGTGCCCAGATGAATGTTTGTGGTATTGGTGTTACAACAAGGAAATTGAAAATTTTTCATGCAGTTTAGGGAAGTTATACCTAGGTAATGTTCAAAATGAAGTGAGATGCCTTCAATTACTAAATCTCCAGTACATTGAAGAGCCATAATATATTCTTTTTAAGGAAATTATTAGGTACCTATTTACATTAGAGCTAGGTACGTAGTTACCTGCATGTTAGCATCTTTCAATGTTGTTCTTTATCAATCAAAATGAATGGAAAATTTAAAAAAATAAGTAGAAGTGATCAGATAGGATAGGTAAAGCAATTTCACAATTCATTTGACTTTCAGTTTCAGTTCTCATCAAGCCAATTAGGTTGGGTACCCACCTACTCGCTCCCCAAAATGCCCCCTGCCACGAACCTCTTATGAAGACTTTATAGAAGTGCAGGCTGCAGATTTCCGGCCCATGCAGAGTTTTCATTTCTTTGGCAATTCCTTAACTCCACTTGGAGCTCAAAACCTTCTATTACCACACCATCACATCACAAAATATAATGTGAAAGTCCTTATACACTTTGCTTACACTAAGACACACATCCACAGCACAGTACAGCAACTGAAGCGAGCTGTTCACTGTTACAATTATCTTTCAAATTCAACTGACACCGATAGCTGGTTACCACGCAACGCGCTAGCAAATGGCGTCAGCTTGTCCCACGAATGGCGGTTGCTATGGAAACCAGCTGACGAAACTTTACCAGAGCCCATTTTCGAACAGGAGTTTTGTTAAGGCGCCCCAAGAATTTGTGCGCCGTTTTTCGAAACATGCCCACCACTTTCGCAGTTTTCATCCTACATTTTACCTACACGGTGTCTCATGAGACACAATGTTAATCCAATGGGAACTGTCACGTGGGTGTCTCATGGAGGAGATTTGTAGGAACTGTTTTTGAAGACACGTAAAGAAATGTAATGACCAAATGCCGTTGACAGCTGATTGTACCGACCAATTGCTACCAGTTAGCTGTTTTTATAGTCATTTTTTTGTACAGAAAACACAAACTGAAATCTGTCTCGCGGCTACCCTCTTCGGCTCTTTCCTGTCTCCTACATTGTAGGCAAGTAGGAAGGTTTGTGCACCTCTGAGTAAGAGTTTGATTTTATGTGCAAACAGTGTCTTGGATATCCCTGCTTTTTCTTTCTTACCTTATATCATGTCTCATTTTCGAAATGCGCTGATAGCCTGTTCATATAGATCACAGTGACTAAACTACTATAAAAGCCGCAAAAAGGAAATTTGTGGATAGGTAATGCGTCCAATTGATTAATCCAATTGATTTTTGTTTTGTTCCTTTATTGCATTGCTCCGATAAGTGTAAAAAGAAATGTACCATGGCACAACAAAATAATATAAGAGACAGTTCGTCGCAAAAAAAAAGTAGAATGTCTATAAAGTGTATATATATAAGTGTATATAAGGTGTCCACGTCAAAAGTGTACCCAGACTTTTCTCCATATTTTATCTTAAAAACATCACACTCACGAACAATTGCCCTCGTTTGAGAGCCAAGGCAATGGCAAAACATTTGCTATGCTTTTCAACTGTGCTCGGCACTCTGCTGACCAGCGCGTGCCGTCTATGAGCAACTGCTCTATATGAGCCCCTTTGCGTCGGGCCACCGCCGGCAGACGGACCGTCTGGAGGTGGGTGATCGCCTGGTCAACCATGTGGGAAGGAAGGCGACGGATCTCGTCGATGATGAAGTCTTTCAGCTCCTGGGTCGACCCTGGATTGCCAGCGTATGCACAAGTCCTTGAGAAAGCCCCACAAGAAGAAATCTAGAGGGCTGAGGTCGGGCGAGTGTGGAGCCCATTCCACCGCGCTTTT